CGTAGTATACGGGTTTGGGTTTTAATGTCAACCCGGGTCCTAGATTTGATGACTACTCAGTGAATTCTTATTATCTAGCGGTAAAACTTTTGTGCAGGTCTAAACTAACAAACAAGCAAACAGTTAAACAGTTGTTTTCAAGTCGAGACAGGTCACCCGGATATGGTTCCCCCTAGACTGCAGTTAAGCCGGATTGCAATTTACCAAGTTCACTTTTAATGATAGTTATACCGCGGGAGGTTCTTAAACAGTCTGAAGGCTCGACTAAAGGTCTCCAGACCCTCTCAATCTGAGTCTCCAGCGGGCGACTAACCTCCACCGGAGTAAACAGATTGAGGCCCTAACGAACCAAACCTCCACTATCGAAGTAAATTCGGTACAGAATAATGAATTGCCTCCTCGACTAAAGTCGCCAATTCACTACCTTCAATTAAGGGTGCTCTATCAACCTAGGCAGATATTCTCTTTCTAGGCTAAAGCAGAAATAACAGGAATTTGATCAGGATTCAAGTCATTCAATCATTCAAGCCTCAATTGAACATAATCAAATCATAAAATCTGTACTTGGGTTCATACAATCAGACCTAACATACAAATCTAGGGTTCTCCATACCCAGATGAATGGGAAAACTACTTCATGGAGAGAGAACCAAAAGCAGATTCGGACGCGGAAATCATACTGTGAAGAATGAGTTTCTGCTCCTGGTCGTCGATCGGTGCTTCTCCAAGCTCAAGCCGGGCTCCAATGGTGATGAAGATCAAGCTAGGGCACTTGGGAACTCTGGTTCGTCGCCTTCTCTCTCTAGGAATCGCTCTGTCTCTCTAAAACTCGGAACCCTTGATTTTTAGCCTTCTTTTCCTTTAAAAAGTTGCCTGTCGCGATACCCGGTCGAAATACCCGGTCGGGTATTTTGGGTCTCGACCGGTTATAATCGAAACGCGCGTTTTGGGAGCAGAGGAAAATCCCCGGTCTGGCCTAAGAATCCTCGACCGGGATTTTAGCTTCCTGCCCGGGCCCCCTTCTGTTTCTCACGGACGCCCAAAGTGTCAGATCCCCGGTCATGGCCAGATAATACCCGACCGGGTATTTCTGCTCATGGCCGGGTATTTTTGCTCTCCAGCACACTTCAAACCTCACTTGCTCCTTTCGACCCGAATCTCG